ATGCATAAACGCCTTCGGCGTTTATGCAAATTATCACGCAAGCCAATCGATTGATCACATCATGAAACCAAAAAATTAGACAGTTATTCCTTAAAAAAATTGAACCAATCAATGAATGGGTCAGTGGCAAATTCCTTCAAAATACATGTAAACTGAAAATATACAACTGACTTGTAAGTGGAAAACAAAATTTCAATTCAAAAGAGATACTTCAACTAAATCCTCAAATGGTCTCTGTGGAGAAGAGTCTCTGTATCAAAGACCAGCAGCAAGGTGATGTTGTAGAGTCTAATGATTTATTGTGTTTAGGTCTATGGCCCTATTTCACTCGTATTCAGAAAAAATCTGTGCACAGGGAAGCTAATGTGGGCAAAATTTAAAAGTAATCAATGTACAAAAAAGAATTCTAAAATCAAGTGCAAGTTACCAAAGAAAAGGGCATTTCTGAAGCAGAAACTTAAACCTGATCCTTTCCTCATTGTAATAACCCTCAAAATAATTTGATGGAGCATGCCCTAGTCATTGCTAATGCTAATAAAATTATATCTATTCCAAGAATTATATTTTATATCTTTGAAAAATATAATGACCTTTTAAATTTAGCTTAAGTTTTCTCAGGTAGCATTCTAAATGACATTGTTTTTTAATCATAAGTGGAGAAATAAATAGAGTTACAAGTACATATTCATTAACTACATTCATCTTCATACCATTTTTAATTATACATTTATCAAATTTATTTTTTAATCAATCATACAATTCAGATTTTTCACATTTCATGAATAAATCTTAAAAAATAAAAATATAAAATCTTACAAGGTCTAAATTGTCCCTAAGCTATAAATATGTTTGAAGCATGAAAAATAATGAATATTTGAAATTAACTTTAAACCCCCCCCCCTTTCCCCACAAAAAAAAGCTGATGAATGGAATTGCAATTACCTTCCATTGAATTAAATTTGTCAATTGTTTTGCAATGAAATATATCAAGGTGATCTGACATGCTACTCATTAGAAATGAATTGGTTTATATACAGGTCATATGTTAAATACTAGTAAGTAGGCAATTATGTTTATGCTTTTGGAAACAAGACTTTTTTTTCTGAAGATAGTTTTAAATGCATTTTGCAAAGTTAACGAGATAACAGTCACACATAGGTTTATTTTTTTATATCTAAAATCCAAAACATTGACTTTAATAAAAGGTCATAATAAAACAATTATCAGTGGATAAGTTTGAAAGAATATATGGGACCTGACAAAGGTTCAGAGACTGAATACAATGACCTTGAAACTGAAATATGACCCAGAGCACCGTCTGATATGTTTACAAGGTATGTGATCAATATCAAAGTTCAAGAAGTTTATGATGAACAGGTAAATCAGAAACACGGCTATATTTACATGTTTAAGTGTATTGACATGTACAGACTGTATCTTTGTCCAAAAGTTATGTGATAAATTTCACCCTCCAATGCACTATACTTGAAAAACCTTGAGTGACTCAGGTCCAAGAGAGGCTTCTACACACTATTTTGTGGTGAACAAGTATTGCTGTTGCTATCTCTTTTTAGTTTTTTTTCTCTTAACAGTACAAGTTTTTAAAAAAAATTGTAAAAACTCAAGATTAGAATAAATATTACACTGTAAACTTCTGTGACTTTCAGATGACCTTGATGTAGGATGATGCCATATCCTCCAACCACAAGCATTTTTTATGTCAAAATGACATAAATCTATAAAAATAGATACAGTACATATAAATTGAACATTTTTAAGCCTAGTTATTTAACGTTAAAATGACCTCAGGTGAAGGTCAAGATGCAGATCATTAGTAAAGACCTTTTATTGCAATATTTCTCTTTTACAAAGGTATGGACTGGTCAATTGAGATATAACTTTGATCTTATTTAGATATCCAGAATCAGCATACATACATGTACTTTTCTGTCAAGTATGAATTTTTAATGTGTTCCCTTTCAATCTGTGACCTTGATCTTGTGTAAATGAACATGATTATATTCAAAGCAAATTTTCTAGTCATAGATCATCACCTGACTAAATATATATGTTCTATGTTATTCAATTCAAACTTTATGAGTGATTAAAATTGAAGACAGGTGAAAATACAAACAGATCCAAAACAATACTCCCACTCTCCCCTTCTTTGATTCAAAAAGCTTAAAAAAAGATACAAAACTATATATTAAAAAATCCATTTCAAAATGTCAATGGACCAAAATGCTCGCTTGAGTCATTTACCATTCATCAGCTTTGAATTCCTATAATGTATTTGCATTTCATAGTATCAATCTTGGAATTTAATCTCTATTGGATCAGTGATGTAAAGACATTGGACAGGAAAGCTTAAGTAACTATTATTTAAAAAAAAATGTTCTAAGCTAATCAATATCCAGGTTTTCTATGAATCATTATTTCAATCAACTAGCAATTACATTTCTGCTTAGTTATAATCAGGATGAAAAAGCAACTCAGACATGGTGGATCTAAGATTTTGAGATATATCTACAATTTAATACTGTATTTTAAAGGAGTATATACTAAGCATAAATTGAATCAAGACTGTCTTAATTTTCTGGGGGAGGGCTTAAATCCACCACTGTCACAATGACATTAACTACTTTACACATAAGCACACACAGTAGAAATTGGAAAACTATAGCACAGCAGTTTGAACACTCCGGGATATATTTCAAAAGCAATCAAGGGTGATAACTCTGTCTGAGGATAGTAGCTTAGGCTATAAGGGATAATGTCCCTTAGAATACCTGAATGTGTAGATGGGGTGTAGACATCATAGTGAAACATCCTCTGATACTGAATTAAGATGTCTTCAGAATTCAGCTGAAATTTGGGAGGTTGCTCCGAAGCAACCTCCTGTAAAGTAGGAAAGATACCTACATTTTGTACATTATCTCCTGAAATAAGATTATTTGCTGAAACAAACAAAATTTGGGGGATTATTAATAACATAATTAATATGACAATTTGCATGTTTATGTAGTTAATCATACAATTGCTGTATACAAAATTAAATTCACCATGTGTTACAACTAAATGCTAAAAGTACACACAATTCAGTCTGCTTAATGATTGACATATACTAAGATAACACAGCACTTCTTCCTTTCTCTAAACTAACTTTAAAACACATTACTTCTATCTATACCATTCCTATTATTCCATACTCCTAATACAAGAGTAATACTGGATGTTACATATAAATGTTCTCCATATTCCAGGCATGCAAAAATACACTGAATTCTAATTATTTTAACTAGTTTAGGTGATTACTGTGTCTAAAGTTACAAGGGAAGAAAGCCATTCCTAAAATATAATCTACATATTATAAACAGTTGAGTAATGCTAAAATCTTTCAGAGATTTAACTCTTTCCAGCAATTACAATGTGGTGGATCCAAGGATTTACATATCACATAAAATATCTGTACCTGATTTCATGAATTGTTGATCGTAATAGAATTTGAAACCAATTTGTTGTTAAATGTATGAGAAAAAAATGGAGATAATAGGCAAATATCTCCAAATAATATAAATTATTCTACTCACATCCATCACTGACTTTCGTGACAATTAAAGTGTTTCAAGGTCAACAAAAATTCCACCTCATGTTGCACAATATGTAAGACAAAAATTGCTTTTATTTCTTGATGTAAATAATTGATTTAGTTTCCTAATAAAATCAGGACTCATATGAATCATTTTAATTAATGTTTTCCAAGTAATGGTATTATTAAAAATGTTTACAACATTCCTGCCAGGTTAAAAGTAAGATAGGATATATTAGTATATTGCTATATCTGAATACAGAACATGCGGTAATAAAGATTGTACAAACCTTTGTCTCACCCCACCCAATGTGTACAAAGCACAAGGCCACATCTGAGACTGAAGTGTCATAACGATATTCAAAAATATTTCTTATTCAATTACTTCATTTTTAAATTTTTCTTTGTAAAATCTACATAAAATTCTGGCAACTGTATCCTAAAATAGGAGCAAAACACTAAACTATATATATACATGTATATACACATGTATATACATTAATTCACATTCAGTCACACACAATACTGAATTAAATTACAGCCATGCAACAACATCAACAGGCCAGTCTGTGCTAGCAACCCTCTGGGAACCCCTGCAAAATTTAACCACCATACCCTCCCTTGGGGTGCCTCTTATAACCTATTTTTAGCAAAAAATGCACAGTCTGCCTTTGGCCACCAAGTCTTACATTGAAATGTTAGCAGAGAAAGCAGACTGGAACAAAAAATGAGGAATACACATTTATAGACTTCACTTCTTTGGTTGATCTAAGCAAGTTTAAAGTTAGAACATGCATTAATGTTAAATACATGAACATTTAAAAGCAGACATAGGACATTTAAAATTAAAAAAAACATTTTGTAGGAACATAAATCAGTCAAAGACTTTTATAGGAAATGTAAATAAAGCAGTTTCGTATATATAATATCAATGGAAATATTATGTAAATGACAGGACAAGAAAATATTTTTCAAAATATAAATGTAAAGCATTGCCCTTTTACCCCCATTTTATTAGATCACTTAATTATCTAAGTAAGTTTATATTAAGATCACATTTTAAGAGGCAAACACACATTAAAATATTAATTATAAACTCATTAATTTGACATTAAATTTGCACTTTTGCATTCTCAGTTAATATCCCAAACGCATTCCATCTCAATATTGATAGAATAAGCTAGTTCACTCCACCTTATCTTAGCTACTTACTCGCGCCACTTGGTTTTCGATAAACTATTTTTCTTTTTGATGCTACACATACATAAAAGTACACTATATTAAATTTCAGCTCTCTGTTTCAGTTCTATTTTTGTCTCTGAGCAAAAGTTTAAAAAGTAAATTTGTTCACAATTTTTATTGAATCAGTATATTGTACTTGTTTTGCAGTTAATTTAAATCTATTTCTTACCTTCATGCTCGGCCCTTAGTCTCTGTAGCCTCTCAGCTTCTTCAAGAGCAGCTAACTCTGCAGATAATTAAAAAAATATATTTTCAGCATAATATTAGAAAAAAAAGACATTAGCATTTCCTTTTAAATCTAAAAACAAAAAACTTACACAGTCAGAGAGAGTCCCACTGAGGGGCTGTCATGGGAAAGGTACAATTACACTCGATACAGTAATGTTTAAAATAAAGTACAGCAAAAGTAACATAGAAGAATTTCATATGTTGTTTTGAACATATTTTATTGACAATATGTCAGTATGGGATAAGACACAAGTTCTAATAGCTTAGGTTGTCCCCCCCTATATATGTGCTAAAATTACTCCTCATAATATCTAACACATCCACACAGACAGACAATGCAATATGACCCCCAAAGCTATAGGTGACTTTTTTCTATTGTAAAGTATTTCTATACAAAATTTGAAAACATTCTAATGAAAACTGAGTTTTTGCTTCACAACAAAAATGATGATGGACAGACAATAAACGGACAGATGACAGATGAGAGAACCCTAATAAAGAGGATAATTAAGGTAAATCTTCTTTTAGGGTCACTTATCTAATTCCATACTAGCACTTCCTCATAAATATTATCATATTTAAAGAGTTTTTCAATAAATGACAATTACTTGGGATAATTATGTAATGATGAGAAAAGTTTGTAATAGCAACTGCCTTTGAAATCTTATTGTCTTGTTCTTTTAGTAGTTTAAAAGTGCTTGAAGATTTCAATGCACAAAGATCTACATAAATACTTAATTATAAAAGTGACCAAATTTACCTTATAGAGATCTCAGGTCTGCAGAAAAATACATGTAGTAGTCTTTTTTTTCAGAGGTGAATTTATTTATTTACCTCTCCTTCTGGCCTCCATCTTCATCATGTTTGTCAATGTCTTTAATTCATTGTATGCAAGCCTCCAATCAATGCCCATCTTTCTCGTGTTTGCTCTCAATACTATATCCTCCATGTTGGTTATACCTTCCTGTAACCCTGTAATAACAAATGAACTTGTTTGAGAACTTTAATGAACATGTTTCATTATCATTTACAAGTACAATTGAGTACTGCTTATCCTGAAGAGAGATAACTCACAAACTGAAGGAGGCTGGACCCTGATCTATTGAGCAGATTTTTGTCTGGACCTCTATTTGTAAAATACTGCATTATATTTTAGTTCTTACAATATGGTAATTTGAATTTTACAATGCCAATTATACTACATTCAATAAAAAAAACATCATTAAATTCCATACAAAAAGCGTTAAGTAAGTGACTATATTTTGTGGCAGAAGGATTTTTGAAGAAATTGGTCATTTTTTCTCTTTCAAAGTATTTAAAGTACCATTAAGTTCTGATTCCTATTTTTCTATGCAGACTGCACAAACAATTATTTTGTACAGTGAGATATTTTTGATGATCCCAAATTGTATATTAAATTAACTTTTATGAATTTATCATGACATTGTTACAAATATAGCAAATATATTGTGAAAGTCCAGGGAAAAAGCCCCAATTTTAGCTTAAAATTAGCACTTTTCTAGTAATAAATGTATCTAAAAATTTACTTCATTGACCCCCAATTTTAATTAGATATATATAAGTTATAAGATAACTTTGACTATTCTGATTAAATTCAGTAAAATCTTAAGACTTTCATATAATTTTATTGCTTGTTAAATTTCTAATGCCAAAAAAAGAAGAAGACATTTTGTGAGTGCTGAAAGGTCAAATAATTGATTATGCAGATAATATGAAACTTGTTAATTTTCAGAATTTTTAATGAGCCTTTTCAAGAGAAAAAAAAGAATGTTTTTGATCCCATGATTTATTTTGATAAAAAATATTGGAGGAAACTTAAAAAAAAGTTATTTATGTGTAAGGTGAAATTAAAGTGCAAAAAGGTAATATTAAATGTAGTGCCAAAAGATCTAAGCATATTGACCCCCATTTTCTGTTTTTATTTTTAATTAAGCTATATTGTGTGTAGAAACTATAAATAAAGACAAAAAATGCTTAAGATGATAGCAGGATCCTGAAAAAGTCATAGAGCGCTATAAATATTACATGCTCATATCAATAATCTTGACCTTTTGACTTATATCAGCATAATTATAGACATCTCCCTTTAGGTTGAGAAAAACTTGTGTTCCTGCATAATGTAAAAATCTTCTTCTTTTTTTTTAATCTTTATGAGTTGTCATTCTAAGTCATTATCTTCCATCTTTTTCAATATCCCAAAAGATTATCATGAAGACAAAATTTTAAAAACATGTCTTAAAGATGAAAAAAAAAATGTAAAAATCTTCTTCTTTTTTTTTTTTTTTTTTTTTGATTGATTCTTTGAAGAAACAAACACTAAAAGAGTTATTGCAAAGTTTTCCACTCATTGGTTTTCTTAATGATTAAAATTCTGTATTTTGATTGTATGCCAATTGATATATGAACTGCATAATATCATAAATAATAACAAAGCAAATGTTAATTGCTCTAAAACATAGTGTACCCTTAAAATGGGATATTTACTTGAAATGAAAATTTTATTGCATATGAATAAACTTTGAAGCTTAACATATTTTTTACAAGCATCTTGTAAAATCTGAAATGAAAATTAGTGGTGTCAAGGAATGACAACTCTGGATAAAGACTGCATCGGATTCCATAACAAAAATGTTGATCACCATTTTTCTATAACCTTTGAGTGAGTGACCCCAACTGTGGCAGTCTTCTTTAAATCATACTCTATCTTTGTTGTAAATGAAGATATAAAACAGATCACCAACACTTCGTGAGAATGCAGCAGTGAATTTATTTTGTTGATCGGATTCGACCGGACGTTCGTCATCAGAACAATCAAGCATGTAAATTTATCTATTGAAGTAAAAAATGCAGATGACATTGCTATAAACAAAATAAAATGTGGACTGTTTTGTACATATGCGGACCTGCTTAACAACAGTATTTTATACAAGATATAATCAGTTTACGTTGTCTCTAAAGCTTTTTCTGACTTAAGATTTAGTAAGTAAATTAAATAATTGTTTTTATGATTAATAAAATAGTCCATAAATTCTGTGGATTGTTATTCTTCTGTTTTGTCATCCTTGTGGCAGTTCAGGCTGTTTCAGATATAGACGTGTGACGTCACAATGTAAAAAATACAGGAGGTTTGTACATATAGATTGCTTCAAAATTATACAAGAGGAAATTAGGTTACATTTTCTATGAAATTTGGGAAATAAGAGAATTAATACGATTAATACACATATACTTGAGTTAAAATCCCAGCTTATAAACAAAGAAGACACTAATGAAATGGAACATATCAACAATCTATTGACTGCAATCCCAAGCTCTATGAACAACAATAAACCCCTAAAGGAATCAACAAAAGCATCAAAGGACAACAAGAAATCCCAGTAGAAGAACCCCCCCCCCCCCCCACCAGCACACACACTCATGTAAATCTAAACATTTGGATGAATTGTAGCGAGGACCTACGTGCCTTCACGCTTCATCTGAATGAATTTCACCATAAAACTACTTTGAACTTTTTGAACATTCCTTAGGAATGATCTTTTCTTGTACCACAATGTGTATTAATTAATGTAATGTAATTTAGGGGAACAATTATTTTCCTCCGCGAAGTAGGACTATACAGAAGTAGAATTTAATTTTTTACTTCAATAGGTAAATTTACATGCCTGATTGTTCTGATGACAACCATCTCTGGTCAAAACCGTTCAACAAAACAGATTCACTGTTGCATTCTCACAAAGTGTTGGTGATCTGTTATATCTTCAAGTTTACAACTTTAGGTACAGACCCTATTGAATACCTTATGGTATCCACACGTGAGAATCTTCCACAATTTTAACCTCAAACTGTTGGTCTCCAGTTTTTCTTTATTCTGTTGTAAATGTATGAAGTTATCATGTCCTAAACAACCCATATTTTCACAACACATAGAAAAGCCTTAAGTCATGTTCACAATCTTTGAGATACCCAAAAATTGTTTTTCTCTAATCAATCCCTATCTTTGTTGTGAATATGAAGTCACTTAGTTAGAGAAACCTAAAAGTTTTGACAGACATTTTAACAGTATTGACCTTTGATCAAGCAACACCAAAACAAATGTGTTTTCCTTAACCAACCCTCCAAGTAGGGAATAACAAATAATTTAACAGGAAAAAAATATTTGATTGTGTCTCATTAAAGTTTTGTCAGACTTTTTTTTTTTGACCTTTGCATTACTCTAACTAAAGTCTATTTATGAAGAGATTAATTGACCTTTTTGGTACAGGATCCTGTACCTTTTTAATTGGGAATTTTAAATTGAAAAAAAACTGGCAAAATTTGGAAATATTGATATTTTACTAGTATCATGCTTACTGTAGAATAGACAGAACTGAGAAAGATTGTAGGCTTATCCTCTATGCACATATTAATATGATCTCAAAATTAAAGATTGTTGATAAAAAGCACTGAAAAATTCCATCTGCTTGTCATTGGGGCCTTTTTCTCCTAATTTTGGGGAAAGAACAGAGTCAATTTTTAATTGGAATAGGGTTCTTCTACTGGACCTGCATGCAAAAATATCAAGCCATGTTATGTAGTGAATATAAAGTTATTTGGTTAAAATGTACTCAAAAAATCACATTAAAATGTTGAAATTGCTAATCTTAATCTTTTGACCATGATCTTTGGTCAAGTAAGCCTCAAACCAAAAGGGAAAAAATTTCCCTGATCACCTTAGGTATGTAGTTAATATGAACTCATTTAGTTTAAAAGCATACAGTTATTACTATGGCACCCTTATCACGATATGGGGCCTTAATCAAAACATAAATCATCAGACCTCTCACCTAATTCATGACATTTGATCATCCACAGGCTGTCTGTAGCACACAAAAACCGCCATCTCCGACAAACCTGACACAAAATCAGAAATTCAATAAGGCAGTAAAAATTTTATGGTGCCAAGTAAAATCAACATTTTTTAACAAGAAATACTGCATTAATCATACCTGAGCTGAAATGGCAACATCTCTTGGTATAAGTAGGGAGAAGATATACAAAAGAATTTTATCTGACAGTCTGTTGATGTCCCTGGCTCCCCTGAGTCTGAAAGTAAAAAAATAATACAAAATAATTAGGGAAAAAAAGTTATTCTCCATGCAATATACATCAGTACAAAAAATATGTTAATTTAATGCAATTAACATATATTCTGAGGATGTACATGTACATACATGTATTACACTTCAATCTAGATAGTTTACTGAAAGTAAAAGTAACATTTTTTTCACCTTTGCTGTATATGATGATACATGGCATTTAACACCCCTGATCCTGCAATCTTCAGAATTTCCTTTAATAAAGTTATCTTCTCATAGTCCTCCCACATCTCAAGCCACTGAAAATACAAATCACAAATATAAACTTTACAATCTTTTTTTTTTTAAATCTAAAAACTTGGAATTCAAAAACAATTTTTTTTCCAGACCAGTATAGTACTGAGCAATGAAATGGCCAAGCAGGAAATTCCATATCAAAATGGCAAATTAATTTGAAGACAATGGTATTGATCAACATTAAATGTCAATACACATTATAAAAAATATGTGCCCCCCCCCTTTCAAAAGAAGGAAAGAAAGAAAAAAAGAAACCAAGATGCAAAATTTTTTCTTCAAGAATTTATGATAGCATGATTACTGTAAACATTCTTCTAAATATTGCTGGACATCTGTTAACTTGACAAATTCTTTACATATCTTATCAGAATATTTACATTCCAAATTTTGAGGAGCTGCTCCTTGAAATGAGCAATCAGATCATTTTTCTTGGCTTTCAGGAACACCATTCCTTCATGGGGCTGTTCTGTCCACCACTTGACCCCCTTGAATGACCGCTGTAGAGAAATGGGAACATCTTGCAGATACCTAGGCTTTTTCACTTGACCGAATCGGATTTCTTTTTGCATGGAACCTTCAAACCATAAAACTAATATGAACAGTATTAAAACATATTTAAGATCTAATGATGAAAAAGAAATGCTATAAATTTAAACATGGCACATATGCATCCTCATTTAGTTTATTTTGAATTACCAGTGTAAGGACTTTACACCTATCATAATTAGAACTTGATGTACAATATAGAATTTATTACTACTTACAAAAGATTCTGACTTTGATAAAAATTTTTTTAGTTTTCTTTAGTGTACCTTCTCTAGCTAGTCCTCTTTTGGAGAAGAAGTCTGGAGTACTTAGAGTTGTTGGGGCTCCATAAAACTCGTACCTCAGTTTGGACACACTTTTTTGTGAAATATTAGACAGACTCCTTGTCACCTCTGTCCCAGGTTTTGGCAGCTCAGTTTTTCCCACCATAGATCTAATACCAGGAGTAATGATCCTGAACTCCCTACCTGGGGGTGGTATGAGACTAAGATCAGATTTTCTCCGAGCCTGAAGGGATTGACTCCTCTGTAAACTGGACCTCCTGGATGCCACCTTCTCCTCTTCAGTGAACATTGTGTTCTCTCTGTTTACAAATTTCTGAAGTATAGCCACCTCCTCCATGGCACTCTGCATAATGGTGCTAGCCAAATGATCTGCAAAGTTTTGAACAGGGGATAATTCTGTCTTCTCTGAAAAGATAACTCTCTCCTGAATGACCCCCAGTTTTTCAGTGAAAACAGTTCCTGTATTGCCCTCCTTGTTTGTGGATGAGGGTACTGAACTAACTGCTGAATCTGACATCAAATCCTCTTGATCATACTTAAGTGATTTTACAGTTGAAACATCTTTTTGGGGAGTTCCAAGCAAAGCTTTCTCATCATACATGCTAGCAATAGTGTATACACTGTTGTTATCACTCCTCTGTGACTGTTGGCTGCCTGTTTTGGAAGGAGTCTTGCTTTCTTCAATGTCAGACCTAGTTTTGGAGTTCATGAAAGGAGACAGTGGGTAGCGAAGTTTGTAGGCAGCTGCATAGTCTCTGTGTTTGACTGGTTCCAATGTGGTAGCTAAAATGTCCAGCTGCCTTGTACTGCACCTTCATGTCAGAAATATTCTGTTACTGGTAGGTCAGTTTTCAATAAATCATGAATTCTTCTTCTACATCAGGCATATAGTTTTACTTCTGTAATTTCTTTTTGCATAATACAAGTAAGATGATGATACTATGTTAAATTTCTCATACACTCTTAAAATATTTCTTATTTAACATAAATTTATTACCTGTCTACTATACCATACAACAGAGTCTTTTGTTGCCATGGCCTCCAGGAATCAAACCAGTCACAAATAGTCTTGTAAATTTGTTGGTTGTTAAACTTTGAATAATTTTGCACACCTACAGAAGAGTCGGATTTTATTGGTGGCAGGTAAACAATCCCTTCAAAGTTCCCATACCTCAACCCCTCTGGGGCAGCCTTCAAGGAGTGACTCCTGGTTAGATTGATTGGGACAATGGTGCTTGGCATTATGCCTGTCCAAAACTAAGAAAAAAAGACAATATTTCATGAAGTGCACTGTGCACAAATATTTTAGAACAGTATCTGAATTGGTGTGTATTTAAAGTTTGAGTAAATGGGTAATAAAACAATTTTTGTACTTGTTTGACTGCTTTATATTCACAAGCAAATGATTGGAGATATTGTCACTTATGTATGTGTGCATTAATTAAAGTTGGTGCGTGTACATGTACATGTATATACACATATAATTAATTTTATTACATACATGTATATTAATTATAATTAAATCTGAACATTGAGCAAAACATAATGCACATATTTATAAACAGGCCTAGAAAAAAATATGTTTTGTTTCCCTTTCAGGCTGAAAAAATAGGGTACATAGTTAATTTTTTTCTAGGCCACATCTTTCTATTTATTTAAAGCCACTAAAAGAACAAAATTTATTTACTATTACAGTTCCTACTCTCTAGAGTAAGAGAATGTACACGATAAGGCTTAAGAAAAAAAAATTGTTTATGGTTACCTGGCCAAACTTAATTTTATGCACCAACCCAAATATTTTTTATTTGGTTGTGAAATCCTGAAATTGCAATTCTTACAAATATGACGGTTTATAGATTGTAAGGTCACTTTTGATAGTGATTTTTAGAGCTACAAGAAGAGAGCAAACTGTCTTTAAAAAATTGCATTTAAAATTTATGCCTTTATGCCCCCCCCCCCCCCAAAAAAATAAATAAATAAAAACAAAATCCTACCTTCTGAACTTATTTTTAGCTTACCTGAGCATAAGGCTCAAGTGAGCTTTTCTGATCACATTTTGTTGGCATCTGTCTGTCTTTCTGTAAACATTTCACATTTCTGTCTTCTTCTCAAGAACCACTAAGTCAAATTCAACCAAACTTGCTACTTGCTACAAAGTATACTTGGGTAAAGGGGATTCAAGTTTGTTCAAATGAAGGGCCATCCTTCTTTCCAAGGGGAGATAATTATGAATTAGTGAAAAATTAATGGCATCTTTTAAAAATCTTTTTTCTAGAACCACTGGGCTAGAAAATATGAAACTTATATGGAATCATCCTTAGATAATGTAGATTTAAATTTGTTCAAATCATGACCCCCAGAGGTAGGGTGGGGCCACAATGGGCTATCAAATTTTTATACTGGAATACATAGAAAAAATCTTTAAAAATCTTCCTCTCAAGAACAGCAAAGCCTTGATTTGTCATATCTATATGGAAGCATCCTCAGGTAGTGTAGAATCAAATTTGTTCAAATCATGACTCCTGGGGGTAGGGTGGGGCCACAATGGTCAATCAAATTTTAAATAGGAATGCATAGGAAAAATCTTTAAAAATCTCTTTCTCAAGAACAGCAAAGTCAAGATTAATCATATTAAGCACCCTCGGGTAATTTAGATCCTAATTTGTTCAAATCATGACACCTCCTCTCTCTCTCTCTCTCCCCCCCCCCCCCCAAGGAGTATAGGGGGCCACAACAGGAGATCTAAGTTATACAAAGGAATATAAAGGAATGGATATATCAATAAAAATTTTCTTCTGAAGAACATCAAAATCATGATGTCGTGTTTTTTAAGAAGCATCCTCAGGTAGTGTGGATTCAAGTTTGTTCAAATCATCTCTCCCCTTGGATCACTTTTATGTTTAAACTTTTCAATACTGACTTCTGCTTTTTCCAAGTCAAACTGCTCAGGTGAGCCATGTGGTCCATGGCCTCTTGTTATTAGCATGTTATTGCGAGCAGCGCAAAGTACCGCTCAACACTGCAAGCTCTTATAGCAACATATGGGTGAAGAGAAAATTTGGACTGTGCAAATTGATCCAAATGATTTTTTTCCGGCAGTAACCTTGAGACCAAATCATGCAACACCAAATCATCCCGCTGCTAACTATGTTCTGACTCGCAGTAAAAACAAAAGTTCACTTAATAATAAACTCACCTTGATTAAATTGATATTGCAGATAAATAGTTGATTAAACGTTCTTTGTTAAAAATTTGCTGTTTTCAGACTTCGATTTGGGTAATACAACTAACATACGACGTCATGTGACGTCACATTCAAGACGTCCCCGGTTCCAAATGTGTCGTGCGGTTTGAAGAGGTGGACCTACCTTAAAACTGAATGGGTGTACAGTAATACACATCTGCGCTCGCCCTAACGATTGCACCGCCCCAACAGTTGCACCGTCAACATATTAGTAAACAAGCATACATTTTCTCTTACGCTTATTGAACGGGTGCAGGTGCCCTGTACAGAGGACATATGGATAGAGACAAAGCAATAAATTACCGAAATCAATTTATTGTATGCTATTAAACTCAATTAACAACAAACAAACGAATGGCTTTTCGTGTTAAATAGACAAAATACTGACCTATACATATAACAGTAGCTCCAAAACCAGACTGTTTATGCTCTAACCCGCCATCTTGGATGTTTCCAACGAGAGCTTTTTTCGGAACATATCTTGAGTTTTCATAATAACAATGTGTGCCATTTTTGTAATCTTAAATTCTATGAAATCTAAGATCTGTTTATTACTATCAAATTATTTGGTCACATCTGGTAATTGAAAAAAATGTTTTTAAGTGTTTAAGTCAGTAAAAGGGGGTACGAAATCGTCATGAAAGTGAAACATATACAGCGCGAAATTTGAAATTGAATTTCTTGCCATCCCGATCCCGAACAAATATGAAAGTAGAAACTGCTATATCAATGTCTGAAGAATTAAGCACTGCAGCTACTGAACAGGGATTCGACTCTTCAGACGATGATTCTGGCGAAGTTGACTTATCACCGCTGGATATTTCATGGTCTATAAAAGATCATTATTCTTGTTTTTCATTGGCGATATCGATAATCATAATGTGTTGGGTTAGAGCTCACTAACTCAGGATATTGACAGAATTCTCATTCTATATATTTGTTTGATTTATACCATGTAGTCTCTACTGAACTCTGTATGTGATTTACATTCTCAATGTAATACTTTATTATTTTAATAATCTTCTGAGGTTGTTTCTGGGTTGTTTTACTCTTCCTATAAAAGAAAGGAGATGGGTGAACATAGCGTGCAGAAAGCCTATAGCTTCAGATATATAAAAATCATTTCAATTTGTGAATTTAGTATTTAGAGTAAAGTTCTCATTATTGTAATTTATGAAATTATAATAAACAAAACTTTTCTGAGCAAAATTTTCTCGGCAAAATTTATTCTTTTATTAAAAATATATAATGTGATATTCGTGGGGATTGAACCCTAGCAATAAAAATCCTGAGTATCATTTTCTTTCGAGGCTAGCACGCTAACCACTAGACTACACAAGTCCTGATGAATAGTGGCATTTAAATCATGTTTGTGATATGACCCTTGACTTAATGGACTTCAAGTGTTTCTCGAAAAGATGCGAATGTTATGTCATAAAAGTCTATTTTTAAGGTATAGTGGGTCTTTGCTCCATGTTTTTGGAAACCAAATAATGTATATTTTTATGCAAACTTTGAGGATTAACTTTCAAAAAAATGGAGCCAAGACCCACTCATAACGAAAAATAGTGTTATAGTATGAGAAAATGACTCTTTTTGCCCTCTTTAGTGTGTGTATAATATTTCATAAGCAAATAATTTCAATCTTTTTGAGATTTTTGCAATCTGTAGAGATTTTACATAAAGTATATTTAATGTTAGATGAAATATCAAGGAATTTTTTGATATAATTAAAATTTAATTTTTTTACCTTAATGTTTGTCACACTATAGGCTTTTCGCTCGTCATATTCACCCATCTTCTTTACAGTCCTCTTTTTAATGATCTCTATTGTATTTTTATATGCTTGCAGGCTAGATCTAACATGCTATGGTTTTGAATCTCCAGTTGGAATCACGTCATTACCTGGTATGTCACAGTATAGATTCATACATCCAGAGACAAAAATCATGTAAATTATTTACGTCTTTTATACATTTCAATATTTTCTTTTACCTTAATTTTTAAAAAATTGATTTATTAGTGCATCATATGTTCATAAGGGCCACAGTAGGAATCTGATGTATGTTATATAAGACTTACAAGTTGTGAGACTTATTTATCTAACTCCTTTAAATATTATACAATATTTTTATTACTATAGGGTGCCGCTTCAAGGATGTGTGGAGATCCCTGGAGAATGACATAAGTATAAATATATTGTTTCTTAATAGAATAAACATAGGAGTAGAAGTACCTATCTTCTTCCTATGTGTACCCTCTCCTCTCCCCCTCTTCTTGTTCTTTCCACTTGCCTACTCCTTCTCTCTACCCTCCCTCTTTTAGACTCCCCCTTTCCCCCAATTTCTTCTCATCTTCTTTTGCTCCCTCCCCCCTTTCTCCCATCTTCAAACCTGTTCTCCCTCCCTTTACTTCCTCTGCCCATTCCCATGTCCTAGCTCCCCTTTTCTTTTACCCTATCCCCCCCCCCATGATAATACCAATAAAAAATCATGATCAATATATTGTATGCATGGATAAATTGTGTTTTGAAGAACCTTTAAAAAACATTTCTATAACTACTGTGAACCAGTATCTAAACTGAGTGTTCCTTGATCTCAAAGCTTCCAGAATTTGAACTTGTTCATTGTTGGCCTTATTTTTAATAACTATTAAAGCCAAGCATGTTGACCAAAAATCTTAAAATTTTCCTACAATGTACAAGTTTTTAACATCTTCCTATTTCAGAATATTTGGTTTCTGAGGAAGTGCAAGATGTATACTGTTTGTGCAGTAAGGGGGAACTAACTAAGTACCGGGTCCAGTGGCTACTTCACGAGTTATCTGGAGCGGGCCTTACTGTCCATCATTTCCCTTTTCCAGATGGTCAGCCACCAACCACAGCTCAACTGATGAAGATCATAGAGGAACTCAAGATCAGTCTTAACAACAAGAGGAAAGCCATCATACAGTAAGATATAATGTCATTCAATTTTTATTTGAAAGAAGTTTAATAAGCCATAATTTTTGTTTTGTCTCCAACTTCTTGTCAGAAGTTAATTGTCAGTAATTAACTCTTATACCTTTTTTTACAAAGGGAAATTATTTCTTTCAAAAAAATACAACACTATTGTCTTATGAGAATAATAGCATGTAAAGTAGAAGTGATATACTGTATAAAGTTTTATTTTAAAAGAAAGATGTGAATAATACAGTCCATTAAAAATACATGTATGCTAAATTGAATATCCTGGAACAGTTATACCAAAATCAAACTTGTATAGATGAATACTATTATTCCAGTTTTCACTGCTAAAATGCCTGGATGTATTACTATCTATTACAGTCATCATACATGTATAATTAGTAATATTCAAAATGGAATTTGTTTTTATTCATTTTCACGGAAGATCCTTTCTTGTATATTTTAGGGAAGATTTGTTCTCGTATGTCATGCCATACTTTGTTTAGGTTAATTCTTCAAATATTAACTCTCCCATGACTCAACTTGCTTAGATGATATATATATATGTGACATATAGTCTCAGAGTCCCAGTGGTATATGTATATAATCAGATGCTGATGAGTTCACATATTCAAAATATGTATGGATGAAGCATCATTCATACTAGTCAGCAAATAGCTCCAGAGAGCTATAAATGTTATTGTTATAAACTGAACTTTAAATAAAGAATATTAGATTATCATATCATATACACTCTCCATTAACTGAGTGCATTCCATAAATCCATGGTTTGTTGTCAGTCATTTTCCACAGGATTTTTTCCTGGACCAATTTTGATTGCATTTGGATAATTAATACTAATGATGCTTATCATACCCCACAAAATAAGTTGTGGAGGGTATAATGTTTTTGACATGTTCACAGTCGTTCCATCAATCCTGTTCTTGTCAGCACAACTCCTCTGAAACTGCTCAACAGAATTTCAGGAAACTTTGTAGTTAATGAGGACATACTGTACAGATATGCATATTTGCAGAAAATTCCGATTTGTTAATAAACTGTTTCACGATAACTGCGGTACTGCTCTTTTGCAGGGCAAAATGATATATTTTGGTGAAATATGACGTAAAAGCAATTGTTTTATATACGTCATTTAATTATCTGTCAACAAAAACTTCGCCAAACGTTATTAATTTGCCCTGCAAAAGAGTAGTACCGCAGTTATCGTGAAAGGGCTAATTACAGTAAAACACACTTATAATATGAAGTGCTAGGAACCCAAAATTTTGATTCGTTATAAAACAATTCCTTATATTTATTCAGTTCACAAAATGTTTTCAAACTTTAAAATGACCTACATTTCAAGATTTGTTCTGTTCCATTATAAAGAGATGTATATGAACAAGCCTTTCACACTGATTTTGCTATTAGTTATTATGTCAATCATTCTGGTATTTACATGATCAATGATGTGCTTCTTTTTTATTTTCAGTTGCTATGGAGGATTGGGAAGATCTTGTGTGGGTAAGATCATTATATGTGACTTGCAGGGCTGTCAGAAAAAAGGCTATAATTAAGCCAAACCCTTCAACAATTTTTTTTTTACCTTGACCTTTGACTTTACTATTCATTCTATATAAAACTCAGTTTTAAAGAAACTATTCAAGATATTTTCATAAACCTTCATTCACTTATACAAATTGGTGAGAGCTATTCAATTGTGTCATAATTTTCTGACCTTAACTTTCCCTGTGACCTTGGCCTCATTTTTCCTCATTTACCCAAATCTTAAACAAAGAGTCAAGGTACATCATTTTCATTTTGCATTACTAATGAACCTTGGACAGGGCATTCATGTCCTATGTAGATATTTCTTCTTTTTTTTTAAGGTGAAAAATTACAAAATATTTGTAAAATAAAGGACAATAAACTATATATTTGATTTTCCTAGACTAAAAATTAAAAAAAAAAATTGAAATTGTTTATCACTAATATTTCCTTTTAGATATAGTTTTGGACTTTCCTGTTCATTCAAATAAAAAAATTGAAATTGTTTATCACTAATATTTCCTTTTAGATATTATTTTGGACTTTCCTGTTCATTTTTCTATTTTGACATTTCAGTTGGTGCCTGTTTTTTGTTGTCATTGGATTCTGAGATTACCCCAGAGAAGGCAATAGAGAAAATGAAAGAACTGAGAGGACCAAGAGCTGTTCAGACTGTTAAAGTATGTTGTTTTTTTTTTTGTCTCAAAATATTTTCTGTTTAATTTTATGAGTCCTCTCAGACCACTGTAGAAAAAGCTGGGAGAGGGAGACATACACTGTATATAAGAACCATTATGTTTATCTGTCATTTCATTCCATTTCATTTGTGGGGTTAAACTTTTCAATGGAGAAACATTGTAAGCTCCTACAAGGCTCAAAGGTTGCTTAGAATCTGAGAGTGTGTCAACACCCTATTTAAGGTAATTTGAACAAGCCCCAGGGTTGCAAATAACCACCCACCAACTAGCAAATGCTAGTAATTATGCCTGTGGGCAACCAGCTCTTGAGGATGTAATCACCCACATGGCGAGTAAGAATTTTATCAGAACCTGACCATGCTTTGATTCTACAAATAAATGCATTTTCACTGATCCCCTACCTACAAGGTGTTTTCTAGAACCTTAATCACCTTAACATTATAACTTTATGAGGTCTCAAAATGTAGGAAATGATGCGATGTCATTCATTCATGGTGTCGAAATCATCAGGGAAATTAAAGACTGTGGACAGTAAAGTATACTTCTCAGAGATTAAAATTTGAAAAGATTGAGAAAGTTTTTTTTTTTTACAAAGTGGAGAGAAAATTTTGGGCCCCAAAATAACAATGTGGGCTAGATAAAACTTGTAAAGTGAGGTACCACATGGCCCCTAAGGTTTGAAATGTTATTTGCAACCCAGAAGCCCAAAAGGAATCAAAAATGTATAATTCTTGTTTAGGTCATAGCTTTGCAATGCAGGTATAAAAGAAGCTAAAGACAAGCGTTGCTCATGACCTCAAAGTGTGGTGTGCCCTAAGCCAAGGTCATTTGGACAAGGTCAAATTTATCAGAAAAAGATTGCTTGTGACTTTCTAGTGTGCAGTGACCCTGAACCAAGATCATTTGAACAAGGTCACTGGTTAAGAACTGAAGTGAAAAGTCTGTTTCCTTAATTGGAGAAGCTCACAAAGATTTGACAGAAGTTGTGTCATACCCTCAAACCAGTTGAGTGGGGAGGGGGGTATGACACAACTTCTGTATAATATTTAAGAAAATTCTTGAATCTTCTTGTATTTAAGTCAACTACATGATTACCAATGCCCTCGATGATTGGCAATGAAGTACAGTTAATAAATTTAAATTACATGTGTATTTCAGCAATTTAACTACATCAATGAGTTTCCACAAACCTTAGCTGATTTCCAGAAGGAGTCTGAAGATGTGGAAATAAAGGGAAGATCTTTATCAAGATGAATTTTAACTTTGTACTATAAACTAACTACTGTGTTACCTAGTGACAACTGTGTACTTGGTGACAACTGTGTACTATTAATATTAGTGATCCTAGTCAGTGTACATATTGTACTAAATGATTGGAATTTTATTATCAGTACATAAAATTATTTATTGTGAATACAAACATTTTTGTATCACATATATATGTAGTATTTACTAGTGTAAAAAAAAAAAAACAACTTTAAAGCTCACTGAACTGTGAAGATAAAGTGCAATTCAGAATTGTTCCAAGTGTATTTTGTAATGTTATTAAAAATGTGCATTAAATTTGTATGAAATTTACCTGTTATGCTGTGTGGCAACGCACTTTGAAAAATTTTTTCAAAGTGCGTTAAATTTTGGACTAAATCAAAGCACTTTGAAAATTTTTTGGAGACACTCAACGCACTTTGAAAAAATACGTACTAGTATAAAACAAAAATTGTGGACTTAGATTTTAATAATAGACAACATTAATTTGTTACATTTCTTTCGAAAAACTGCAGATGAATTGATCTACCCTCATCGAGAATGAGGAGATGGCAGGTAGAAAGGCCCTCAGCCCAACTCTCTATCTTTCGTACACAAATATATGTATTTACATAACTGGTGTGACATTGATATTATTTCTCTCAATAAATTTGAGTTAACGTAAAATAGATGAAAAAATTGAGATAAGCTTCCCTGAAAAAAAAAATACGAACCCTATTATATTAAAGAAGAAAGCCGCATAACCTTTATTCAAAAATATATCCACAATGATTCCTCAGAAAAAATGCTTTTACATGGTAATTAAAACACGCTATTTGACATGTCTAGCGTTTTTATGATATCAAATTACAGATTTCGAAGTAATCTGACTGCATAATTTTTTGAGAAAAGGGTATTAGTGAACGAGGTAAAAATTTCAGTCGAGTGAGTAATGTTGCCAAGGTTTATTTTCTTACTATCAAATAAATGAGTCAACCATTGTTTCATATATGTTCACAATAGATAGATAGATGAATATGATAGAAAAATAGATGAGAGAGAGAGAGAATTTTCATGGTATGGAAAAATCATGATTGCTCCCTTTTCCCTAAGAAAAATGCGATGCTTTAAGTCACTTCTCGACACCTACATCTACCGAACTTATTAGAGACTGGGTAAAATTTAAAAAAGAAAAGAAAAAAAGAAACGAAACTGTGCTATTAACTAATCATTCCTCCATTATTTCTCAGACCTTTTTCCTTTTTATAACAGTTACGAGAACCTTTGGAAACAAGACAACTCCTAAAAATCTTTAAAACGTCTATATCTCAGATCCTGACGTCATCACCGAAAAGTTATCCAACCAGGTTCAAATAATTATTTATCATACCTAAAATTTGAAAGAATATTGACCAAGCTGTGCACAATTTTTTTTTTCAAAGTGCGTTAATATGGTCGATATTAACGCACTTTGAAAAGAATTTTTTTTTTCAAAGTGCGTTAACGTGGTCCAAAAATTAACGCACTTTGAAAAAATTTTTCAAAGTGCGTAATTTTTCAAAGTGCGTTGTAACAATGCTGACATTATAATTGAAATCAAAAAATCGTTTAGGGATAAGAAGAGGGAGCAGGTGTATCATTTATATACTGTTCACACATGTACCACCAATGTCTTAAGTTGATACAAATACGTATACATGTTCTTGCACAGCCAATATTTATATAGATAATGGATGCACAGATTATGATCTAGCAGATGACACATCTGTTCAAATTAAATACTTGTTCCTATTTCATTTTATTTTATTGATTGAATAGGAAGGCAACCTAATTTTAATGTATAACTGTCCCATTTGTTGTGGTTGACCAATTTTGAATAATCTTTTTACTTCACTGTAACTTTTCATTACACCCTCTGCAGTTTCTTTGACCTTGAAATATAAATTAAAATCTGCATCATTTTTCTGTTCAATTTCTTTATTTCTTGTGAATAAATATTGTGCCAATTAAAAATTTAGCCATGTTATTGATTTGCAAATCAGTCATATTGTCTTTAGTGGTTTTCTTGTGTAAAGTAAAAAAGAAAAATTAATTTCTCTAAAAGCCTGTTTCATCAAAGAAAGTTATGAGGGTGTATGTAAAATAAAAATTATGCTTTGTTCACAAAGTTAATGTCATATTAAGGTATTCATAGGTGGCTTAATCAGACATTGACACTTTGCATACTCAGGGGTTTAAGATTCAACAGTAGTGACCATGGAACTTACAAAATTATATGAATATATTTATATTCTATTAGGAGCAGAAGTTTTGAGCTATCTTTTAAATTGAAGTAAAAAGTGTAAAATATTATGTCCCTTGTTTGTTGATGATACCTGTAAGAAATAATGACGTGTTTTAAAATTTGTTAATTGATGGTTGAAGGTAGGCTGTCTACCAGTGCTTCTATTTTTTACTTCAAGAGATTAAACAAAATTGATTTTTTTTTTTTTCAAATAAATTGCGCAGAATTTATTGAAGAAAAACTTAAGTAAAACCATTATTTAATCTAATAATTTTAGAAATAAACTCAGTAATGACTAGCAATTTGTCTAAAAAAAAAAAAAAAAAAAAAAAAAAAAAATCCCTGCTAAGAATTCAAATTCAAGAGTGGAAGATTATGATAGCTTTATTTATTTGAAGATATAAGTATCATCAATCATTTTTATGATAGCTTTAATTATTTGAAGATATAACTATCATCAATTCATTTGATGCACACAAACATTGAGAATAGTGCAAGTCACAAAATGTTCTTCCGAGACGAAATACGTAAAACTATATATGAGGCCATTGTATACGAAATATTTTATGTACGGCTGTCTAATAATATGCCGGTGTCGCAATCTCAACTCGTACTTCGTGTGTCCTTTGTCTTTTTAGCTGCAGCTGGAGGCTTTGTGTTGTGGGATGCTGTAACAGAAAAGAAGGTAAAGGATAATTATTTTTTTTGTTAATATCTGTAGTTTGTGATTTTTGCAAAATGTCATGAATTTACGTTATTTCGAATTTCCTCAACATGACTTCTCTTCATGTATAGAGATTTACACAATAATCTTTAATGATCCTTCAACATCTGGCTTTGAAATATGTATTTGTCATACAAAAATACTTGAATCGCATCATCTTTTAACTTCAAGCATTTGCAGTTCCAGTTGTCAAGCATATCCAGTTGTTATAGCGCGGCTCGAATTTCCTCGCAAAATTTAGTCTCATGTCGAGTTTGGTATTCCCCACCAATTTAACGTTAACCTAATTCGGATTACCTTGCCTTAGGGTTTTGACACATCCTATTGTCATTAAAGAACTTTGTGTTTTGCCTTACAGAAATAATACTGTACCCATCATTTAAGGCCAAACAAAAAAATATGTGTGGTTCCGGTTACACCTCCAAAAAAATTAGGGTAGGTAGGTAGGGATTTTTGTTGTTGTTTTTTTTTTTTAACAAAATGATTTTCTTAATTTTTCTAAATAATACCTATCACTGCTTTGCAAATGACATTTAGATGTGGTGTGATAAAATACTAGTCAATATTGGTAGGGGACACCTACATGCTAGCTTGTTTTGGATTTAACACTATTAAACACTTGCACTTTGTTGTGCAAGGAGGCCGTCATTGCTGAAACTTAAACTTAAACTGGAACCATTGATGGAAATTGGGGAAAATTCCAGAAAAAATATGAAAATTGCCATAAAAAAGTTTAGGGTGGGGGGTGTAAAATAGGGACGGTCGGGTAACTGGAACCACACATATTTTTTTTTTATTTGGCCTAATTGTTGTATATGTATCTTTTATAACACATACACTCATTTATCAGAATGAGGTAGTCTTTGTAAATTTTACTTACTTTTCAGCGAATGAGAGACGGGGTACTCAGAGATATAGAAAAAATGCAACAAAAGAAACAGGAATCTGAAGTGCAACAAAGGGAAAACTAACAAAAGTAGAGAAGACACTAAAAAAGGAAACTCACAAAAAGAGCTTTTCTCCAGGTGATCTGAATAACCTGAACAATTGAGAACTTCATGTTGAAGAAAAAAAGACTGAAACCATATTTCCCATCAACATGTGTACACGAAGTCTGCCTCTTAGATTTCTACAAAAAATAAAATCCATATATTAAAGAAGAGTAATGCTTGGAGAGATGGCTTGAACATTGCAAATGATTGAGGTTATACTAGTATGGAATATGACCATGGCTTTGACTTTCCTTTGTCTAACGAGTCGTATTCAAGTGCTTTTGTAACTACCTACCCATGATTGTATATTGTGTGTGTGTTTTTTTTAATTATTTTAAGTTATGAATGAAGGTGTATGCTGTACACATGTCTGCAAGAGTGTTAGAGGTGTTTTTCTCATTATTTTTTAGATGGTATTAATGGAGAAAAAAGTAATGATTCTCTGTGTTATATTGCTAGTTTTGTGCTTAGACCAGTAGTGTGTATAGGGATGGATCCAGGGTTTTGCAGAAAAGTGGTAAATGAATGTTGAAGACACCCCTACCCCAACAAATGCACCACTGGTATAATTCAAATGAACCATCAACACCTTGCAATGTTGAATTGTTCTAATGTTTGTATAAATTAATTTAATGTGAGTCAACCATGACAATGCTTTCAGCCAGTTTCAAAATAAAATTTTATTTTTTTCAAACTATCTGCAATTCAGTTCATGAAAATGACAAGGAAACCATATTTTTAGATTGTTACCCTACTATTGCAATCCCACCTTCATCAATTTGGGGGGGGGGGGGGGGCATCAGTTCAAGAGAACACATTGCTTAAAAGTAAAGTCGGTCCTTTCTACATAGGCCAAAAAAAAAAAAAGAACACAAAGATGAAAACCATATTATATACATGTAATTGCTAAAAGGCAATCTATTTGTTATACTTTTTTTTTCCAAAATATATTTTGTTGTTGTTTGAAATAATTGGAATACAAATGTAATACTGAACCATAGTCAGATGTCAGAAAACAGGACAACACATGGTGAGGTCCTCCACAGTAATTTAAACCAATTTGATCACCGGTTGTTGTTGTTGCTAGATATCACAGTTAGTAGAGGACCTATCTAGAGTTAAGAAAGCTGGGTTCAAATCCTGGTCTTGTCTGTCATATTGTCTCCCTGTTAATCTTGAAGACTGCCATGCCTTGAAACTGACAGGTGGAAGATCTCCCAGGGAAGAGTTGGGGCTAGTGTCTTTAAATAATGCCTTTAAAAATGAGGAATGTGGTAGTTAGCCTTGTTTGATTGCCAGTGGCAGGACATCAATCATATTCCAAAGATGATCTGGCTACTGGGTTAAATATGAGAAGTTATTGGAACCAGGTTTTCATTAAAAAAGAAATGTTAATTTTGACCCACAATTTCCCAAAGGGTAAACATGAAAACTCCATAACCTTATTCCAAACATAGGGGTTTGTCATCCGGATTGTTAAATCTAAAGTAAGTAATAAAATTTTGAATCTACTTTAAATACAATAATAAAGATTCTGACACCTTCAGAAAGCAATATCAAGTTTAAAATAACGTACCACACCTATGTACATAAACTAGTAGAGTTTATGCATTAGGTGTGATACTTTTTTTTTTAATACGGTATAGTCAGAATCTTTATTGTAACAACTTTTTAAGTGTATTTAAATACTATTTAAAGTAGTTTTAAATTTTTATTAATTTATTTTACATTTAACAATTCGGAAGACAAGCCCCTATGATTCCAAATCTACAGGACATCACCAATCATATTCCAAAAGATGAACAGGCTACAGCGTAAAATTTAAGAGGAGATTGAGGAAGAAGGAAGTGTGACAGATGGACGGACTAGGATAACGATATATCTGAATTTTCTTAAGAAAGTGTCCATATATCTGTAAACTACGTTCCATCGATGCACTCACTTGTAGTACAGTTGAACTTCGTTATCACGAATACCGGGGATATGTCGAAAAGTGTTGGCAGTCCCAACCACTTTTTACCCTCCTTATCTCAAATCCTTTGAAATCTCTAATTTTAATTTGATCCCGTCGAATTTGAAATAGTAAGGTATGACTATTTTTCTATCATTTTTCGCAATTCCTACAATTTAAAGTTACATCTTTAATTCCGCAAGTTGGCCAATAGTATTTGAATTTTATCTTGGATAATGTTTTCTAAACACCAAGGTGAGCTGAGGTCATTTCATTATGGACCTGGCCTTAAACTGTGCGTCTTTCACTGAATGTAGGCAATATTAGTAGAACTTTGCCATTTTCGTCATTTTGTTTGGTTTTCTAATAGTTTATTTTCAGTTGCATCCTCGCAAGCCAGAGGTCCTGAGCCAACACGTTGTCGTTGGTCCAACGGCAATCACGTGTTGACTCAGGACCCCTGGCTTGCGAGGATGTTTCAGTTAATGAGAAACATTTGTATGTTTATTGCCTATAGTCTATGTTCAATGATCGTTTGAAAATTGCTAAGTGCGCTAGGTGACGTCTGGGTTTTTGCACTGATTTCATTAGCCATTTCAAGGACGTAATATCTACTAACTGCTAGCTAGACAACGCTTATTATTTCTACGTAGCGGCTAGGCTAGCGTCGCTAGATCGTAACTCTACGTACATGTACACGTATACTTAGATTTTGAGGTGAACAGATCGAGAAGTTGGGCCTTGTATATGTCCGCTCTAAATTCGATTGCCATTTTTTTACTACGACACAATCTTTATTTAACATCTCTAAACCATATACTAGTAGTTTACACCTCCGTGTATGTTTCACGAGTGTTAACTATACTTAACAGAGAAAAAAAAAATTATCTGCAAGTGCAAACATGGTTTATATCATTATATAATATACAGTTAAATTATATCATTGATGAAGTTACCAAGATTCCATGCAGTTCCCCAAGGCCAGGACTATTTCCCGAGGCGAAACTGAGGGAAATAATCCTGGTCAAGGGGAATTGGAATCTTGCTAACTCCAGCAATAATATACTTTCAACTGTTTTATTATACCGATACAAACGTAAAATCTAGAGGATTCAGATAGCGTGATTTCAAAGCAGGGATGAGCTCACTGAACTTACACACGGGGATTGATCCATTCACATATCATACCAATGTTAAAGTAAAATCTAGAGGATTACGGATATCCGGGGATAGCTTTCGAATCAGGGATTAGCTCACTTGACTAACGCACGGGGATTAGTCCATTCATAATGATTTCTAGGGAAATAGTCACATCTAACGATCTAATGTTATATAGAGAAAAATCAGTAGAGGTATAATATTAATGTTTCACAATTAATACCGTTAAACTATATGGTTAACAACCAGAGACACCCCGTCACCCCACCCACGCCCCCCCCCCCCAAAAAAAAAAACTTTTCTTAATCTCCATTTTGCTCTGGCAAGACTACCCAACGAGTCGTCGTTAGTGGTAAGTGTCTTTAACTGTAGCTGCATAATAACGCCTGTAGAAACTTAAAGAACCAACTTTTTTTTGCAGTCAATATTTTGTTGTGGACAATAGTGGACTATTCCATTCTTCTATACTGTTTCTGTCAAGCATGTCCAGGCCCGTAGGAAGCAATTTCAGTTTGGGGGGCACACCATACATTTTCAGTTGAGGGGGCACTATCAACTATCAAAAATTTCTTGACAAAAAAAAAAGAAAAAAAAAAGGTCATCAGACGTATTTATTGAGGGGGCACAGGAGGCATATAGTAGCTATTTTTTTTATATAGTAATCTATATATCGGCAAAATTATTGGAGGGCATGCCCCCCGTGTCCCCCCCCCGGTTCCTACGGCCATGATGTCGCCTAGTTGCTCGTTCATCTTGTCTTGTAAATGCCGTGAAATTCTTCTTGCTCTCTATGGCGTGTAGAACGTTGCTTTATTCGATAATCTTGTGATGTATGTTCAAAATCTTGTGATGTATGTTCAAAATCTTGTGATGTATATTCAAAATCTTGTGATGTATGTTCAAAATCTTGTGATGTATATTCAAAATCTTGTGATGTATGTTCTAAATCTTGTGATGTATATTCAAAATCTTGTGATGTATGTTCTATAATCTTGTGATGTATATTCAAAATCTTGTGATGTATGTTCAAAATCTTGTGATGTATGTTCTATAATCTTGTGATGTATGTGCAATATCTTGTTATGTATATTCAAAATCTCATAGCTCTCAGTGTAGACTCTTTCAGGGCGAGTGTCATTTTTGTTTGTCGTATGTTTGACTAGTGTAGAACTTCCAAGATCTCTGTCTGACTTCGCAAATATATCTGCATACCTCTGTTTGTTAGTTCATACACATTTTCGGCTGAACCCAAATTTGCAATAAATGTTCTTGGAATCACTGTTTGATGGTCATGGGATGGATTAGTTAGTCAGACTGGCACTTCTCCATTTTTAATGTTACCAGGTGATCTAAATTGCTACCAAAGCCTTTCCTGACTTGAGAAACCTCTCCGAAGGTTCTATCATACTTAAAGAATCTTTCACATATCATGGTGTTCCGATAGTATGACTCCAATAAAGCAACCAATTCTGTAATGTTTTACAAAACACAAATAATTATTGTTCTAGGTTTCCCTTCCGAGAATTATGCATATATAAGACTAAATCGAACTTTCGTCGAATCCCTGCGGAACACCGGAATAACACCAATGGCACCATTTGGAAAACCCTGTTTGGACATTGACCGAAATCGGGAATAATATTCATTTAAATTTGCTAGTTCCTATACGAACAATGATTATGAAACAAACTATAAAGTGTTTTTCAAAGAGTGAACATATAATCACTCCAAAAATTTCCAGCTTATCTATGTATCTACACTCCAGAAGCTGCAGACTACAGGTAAGTGGTCTAACAATTCTGTTGTTCCCCGACAGTGCCCGCATAGTTCTACCAGTGACACTATATACACTCTATAAAAGTCACCAAGACACCTTTATTACTTAATTATTAGAAAAGATATACAGTGTACTTTCCTTTGGAGGGACCATTAGCTAAATGGGCTGCAAGGTCGGGAATATATGGAATATACACCATTTACAATTTGTACAAGTAAGATTCCACCAGAATTATCTTTTTTTGTCGATGTCGGCATTCCCTTGCTTGATTAGGACCCCGCGCTCTTCGGATGCCCTACAGTGATCAGTTTGTCCGAAAGTCCGATATCACTCGTCCAGAAGTTATTTTCTCTTCCCTTGGTCCAATCTAGCTTAAACTTCAACCATGGAGTATCCTTGAGTAAAGGATGTGCAGTGATCTTGAACCAATTTATCAAATACCAGTCAAACCATCCACATGTAAAAGCCATTTACAGAGAGTAATATATTTCCTCTCACCTTAGTTAATCTGGCTCAAACTTCACTGAGAGAGTGTGAATGGGTAAGGGATGTGTGCAATAATCTTGAACAAAAATTCTAGATGAAAGGTCAAGGTCAACGCAGATATTTGTGTAAAATTAGAGTGCCAGTGTATAAAGGTGCAATTCAAAGGTCAATTTCAAAGCAGATCTCGATGCAATATATTTTTTGTGAGCATATATTATTTCCCCTTTGTCCAATCTGAATCGTAAGATGGTTTGCCAAAGACCTGTCTCGAAGTCAACAACAACGCTGCCTGGGTTCCCAAAGAGTGATGAGGACCTGAAAG